AAAAAAACGTAAATTTTGACCACTCTAAGTTTGCAGTTCTTACTGAAAATTAGAATGGTCAGAGGGTTATTAGTGCTTTGATGATCAAGGTTAAAAAAAATTGATCAAGGGATAATAATAAAATCGCAGCCATTTCTATTTTTGTTTGATGTTCCGACAAAATCAGATTTTGGAATGACTCGCGATTTGCAAAACAAAAAAACGATGAGCACATTTATTACTAGGAGTCTCAATTTCAAAGATATTGTCAATGAAAAAATTGCAAGGTAAAGGAATATGCCCGAGCATCATAACGTTTCCAAGAAAGTCAACTGAGTTGTTATTCGCTAATTGGCATCCGTGGCACACCTACGCTTACGCTAATGACCATGCTCACTTGACAAAATGCCTAATCGTGCAGCTTGCAGATTCTTCAAAAGCAAACACTGGAGATTTGAGTCTATTTGGATATATGATATGAAAAGCTAAAGTTATAATACTAAAATCGCAGCCGAAAGCGAGTAGAGCGAAAATTTTACAGTATTTAGCACCGCTGCTTGACGAGTTGAGAAGCTGTCAGGGGCAGCCGAGAAATTTATCAACTAGCGGCAGCTCATGCATAGTAGCCGTCAGTTCCAGAGCAGACAGGTGCGCTTGTAGATGTACGTACTTTATTGACTTGGTAGCATCACTATCTTGCACGTTTTTTCAGATGGGAATGACTCTTTCGGTTGAACTCAATGGGCTGAAGCATCTCTTTGAATAGGAAATTACATTCTCTCTGCATATTTTCAAATATAAGCGCGACAAGTTGGTGCAGGAAATCTACAAAGCGGCATACAGTTTCTCGTGATGCTTCGATGTGTTTCTGATTTGTCGTATTTGATCTTTTTCGTAATCCAGCTTGCTCGCATGGTGTCTTTTGCAATCCTGTCAAGAGTGACTTGCGTAAAGAGTTGGTAGACTGGAGATAACAGGCAGATAAGGCGGATAGGACGACTTTGCCAATGTCGCAGCAACCTCCCTTCTTTTACAGCAATCTTGCTGGTGTTCCTTCATTTGGAACACTTTCTGGTACGCGTGAACCTGCCAAAGTTTTGATGAGGACTGATGAGAGGTTGTTCTATGTTCCGGCTTAATCCTGTCGAGCTGGGCGCTGTAATCATCGAAATGATAGCAAGAGACGAACCTCGGAAGAAAGAGCAGACTTTGCAACATAATCGCCCTCCTTGAGGCGACTTAAAGGCAGGAGGAAGTGGCTGTCAAAGAGATTCAGATCAAAGGTCGTAGATGCTTCGGCAAGCTGCATGATTGCTGCGTGATTCCTTAGCCTTTTCCCGCTTCTCTATATTATTTCCTGCGGCTCGTGCACTTCCACGTTGATCAGTTAGCTCCAAAGTCTTCTTATGAAGGACCTACCATCGCAATTTACAGAATCTCTGCTTCCTTGCGTGATCGTGAAGAGCTGGACAATTAGTTCGTGTTCTCAGCGTGTCTTCGATCGCGGTATCTCGCTAAAAGCCGGCTATAGGAAAAGACAGATCTCAGCCGACAGCACAGGGTGTTTGAAAAGTTTGTGGCCTTAAGTACTTCAACTGCGAATCCTAACACATTTTTTGCTAAATGTGTTCGCTAAACCTAGAAACCACTAGGTCAACAAAAAAAATTTTTTTTGCCTCAAGATACTTTCAAAAATGTGAAAGCAAGCAAATCTTTCAGCATCCTTGAAAAGGCGGAAGAGTGCGTTATCTAAGTTGTTCTACTTTTTTTCAGCGCCGCAAAACGGAGACAGCTTTCCGTTTTTTTATACTACAAATAGTCTTAAGTTGCACTCTCTTTATGTAACAAAAGTCCCTCAGCAGCTTGCGAATAAAAATTTTTCCATGCAATACTTACAGCAGACAATCGCGGCGCAAATTTGCGTTGCAATTTTTTCGGTTCAAAAAAATTTTGGAAGCCTTTTTCCAACATGTATTTGTAGCGCAGCTCTATGATCTTCATTGTATTAGTTTTGAAAAATTTTGCACGCTTGTTTTAAAGATAAAATATAAAAATTTAGGTGTTGGATTTGTTGACGAAAAAATCCTGAAACTGGATCTCTTGTATTTCAAAACACGGTATTTAAAACGAACTTACTTCTACGAAAATAATAGCATATGTAAAAAACCTCAAAGAAAGTGCTTTTAGAAGGTATGCAAGGTTTTCTTTGAATTACGTTTCCTTCTTTGTAGCAAGCATTTCAAGCAAAGTGGTCTGGAAAGCTAAATTGATGTGTTTCAATCTGATAAAAAAACTAGAAACCACGAGATATTCTGGTTTCACTGAAATAATGGTACTGGGCCTGATGAGCACAATAAACTAAAAAGCGCGTCAAAATTCGAACTGGAAGTACTTTAAGCCACTTACTTTCAAAACACCCTGTAAGTGAGACGGTGTTTCCTAAACTCAAAGTCTCCCTCCATTTCGTGAAAGAACATGGCTCATCGGAAGTGATGGTCCGATCCTATGCAGAAATTTGGTACAGCAGGGAAGCTCGCCAACCGTTATGTTGACGAATGTGGTCAATCTCGTTAGGTAATCTCCAAAGAATGCTTCCCAGATCCAGCGTCGGAAAGGAGCTAAGCTGTTTGAGTTCTCTTGATCGTCCTCGTCATATGACAAACTCGGACAGACTGAGTTTGATCTTGATGTGTGTAAACGTCGGTTGCTAGTTGTTCAAAGGGTAAACGGTTATAGCAAATCGTGGTGACAAGAACTCCCACGCCGCCGTGATTTATGCCTACCATGGATTGTTCTATACTGCCGCACTGTCCGCCTACTGCGACATTTGTAGCAGCCAATCCATTGGGGTGGAGAGTGAATCCAACTGAATGCTGCTGCAGTTTGGACTTCTTATTTCTGTGGGCAGTATCAATACAAAATTGATAACATTTTCAGTGTAGAATGCAATTTTCGCTTACATCTGTTTAGTAGTTTTCCACAGTAGTTGCTGCATTGCAGATCAGCAGTGAATTTCAAAACATTTCTACACCCACAACTTTGTAGTGTTTTTGTTCCCATAGAATCATGTATCGACCAGCTCGCGTACGCCTTCATTTACTCGTACACTTCTTTTTATAGCTCAAAACAATAAAATATACACCATTTTCAAATGGCAAGTCAAAAACTGCATGGGCGTTAGTCTAGCATAATGGGGGTTAATGATAAACTTTGCCTCTATTAGTCCTGGGTTCCTTCCGCACAGGTGATTATATAGCTTATGCGTTGAGAAGTAAGATAATGTAATTGCCCCTTGCAGGTGCTCCCGCGTTCAAGAAATTTTAATGTTAAAATCGGAAAAAATTGATACAGCCTGATACTTCATTGATTATGGCCAATTACAAACGCACTTTTTTTTTCAGATAATTTACGTACAGTCGAGTAGATTTTCCGCTTAATATAGTGTGCTTGCACAGAAGGTGAGATGCGGTAAAATTTGCGCGTGAGGAAATAGCCTCGACTGTGACGCCGGCCAGTTGCGCGCCAAAATGCTGGCAGTGCTAGCGCAGCTATCATCTATTCTACGACTAGGAGAGCGTGACCGCATTGCGGACATTGTCTTAACATGTTTGAGTTCGTACTTCCTTGTTTCCAAAGAGTAAATAAACGTGGGCGAGATCAATGACAAGTATAAACCTGCTAAGTACACGATTAAGCTTCTTTAGACAATATGTGCAAAGCGGTCTCGCGTCTCCTAGTCCTAGAATGTGATATACCTGTTCACGCGCAAATTTTACCGCATTTCATAAACTGTGCAAGCACACTATATTAAGCGGAAAATCTACTCGACTGTACATTCACCTAGGAAACGATTGCACATAGAACAGAGTTTATAGAGTGGAGAACCGAGACAAGCGGGAATTCAACGATATGTAACGTCTTGCAACGAAGGCCGCCAGTTTAGTCGCCTAGAATGAAACACAATGCAAGCAGCATAACACTTCCACAAAGCCTCTGCAAACAACCATTAGTCGCTGATGAATGCAAAAATTCTGACTACAAAGAAAATTATCCCTTTGGGATTACGTCTCCCACCAATTACTCGTAATTGTCAAGGGATTCGAAAATTACTATGAACTAGACAACAACAAATCTTCCTGCTAAGTTGATTTTATTATTTACCGATAAGACTGTTAGCAGGCATAGAACATTACTACATTGTGAAGGGATAAACCATCAATCTAAAGCTTAATACCATGAGTAGTATGTATAAAGCAAGCATATGGAAGAGAATGAGTTTTGAAAAGAAAAAAAAACAATTGATTGCAACACAAGCACGACCGCAGTCGGTAATGAATGTCGGATCTGGCAGAACCATATGCAGTCAGAAGGCTCTTTGATTTGCCCAGTTACATACTTGCAAGGGAAGGATGGTTGGTCTGGTCTTTTGAGATGGAATGTATATTATGTTGGAGGGCATAAAACGCTGATTCCAAATTTTCAATATCTGCGGTGCGTCTCTGCAGGAAAAGTCGTGGGCGTTTCTTGGAGAAAAAATTGAATGTGCAAGTAATATAAAAACAGTAGTAACACTTTTCCTAACGCTTAATTGAACCAATCATTGTGGTAATCTTTCCACCACTCTATAAAATAGATACTCTTACTCTATAAAATAAATACTCTTACAATACTCTTAGATGAACTATAACCGCACTCCGGTTGTCTCATTCAAGCGCTGGGAAATTTTTCGAAACTGTTTTATCCCAGAAAAATATTCCTTTTTTGCTCCTCTAATGCTCTTGACTCTTCGTCCAGGAATGCTCCGCAGACAGAGGACAGATGTGGAATTAGCATTTTATGCCCTCCAACATCGTAGACATGACTGACCATCCTTCCCTTGTTGGGATGGTAGTGGGATGCAGATTTCCCAGGTAAGACGATACATCCAATACTAATTGCGGAAAAAGTCCATGCTTCACTTTTAGCACTAAAGGCTTGTGTATTTCAAGATTAGAGAACAACGACTTGATGTGCAAGTCACTAAATAACCTTTCTCACATATTCATAAGTATATTTTATTTGATTACTCTTGGAGATGTACATAACATGAAAAAAAAAGAGACTTCTACAACTCCTCTTCATAATCATCGTCTTCTTCATCGTTACCCTTACTACCCTTGCCCTGCTCAACTGGTGCTTGACTGGGCGGAGTAGACGACTTTGCAGCGCTACCCTGAACGGCACCATCTCTTGCTGCTTCTGACACTGCTGCCAATATGCTAAGTGGATCCATATCCTTCTCTACGAAAACCTTTTCCTGCACAGCCTGCTTTTCGGTTGAAGATGTCGAAGATATGGACGAAGATATTTTTTCTGACGACGAAGCTGATTTCTCCGAGGATGATGTAGCTGAGGATGACGAAGCAGCTTCCATAATATGCTCTTGCTCTTTGGGCGGCTCTGGTGTATTACTTGAGCTACTCGATTCTGGATTTACCTTTTGGACTCTCGGTGGTGGCACCGTGGGAAGTGGTAACGTCTTTATGAGTCGATGAGGTGGCACTGGGCGTGGAGCTGTAATCAAGCGGTGTGGAGGTAAGGGACGCGTTGCGGGTGGAGGCCTTGGCGGTGGTGCTAGCTTGGCGATGATTGGAGCAGGCGGTGGAGGTGGTAGAACTGGAATAGGCGATGGTGTTGAGGTGTCCGTTTTGCGAAGAATAGTAGGGAAACGTGGATGAAGTGGAGGATTGGGTGTGCGCTGTTCTGAGACAGTCGGACTTGGTTCCGTTTCCATCTGAGAATTTCTAGGTGGATATGCATCACGAACTGACGTAGTCGGTATGATGACTGGACCAGTTCTTCCGCCGAGTGTCAGCTGTAAACACATATTCTATTCTGGATAATAGGAGAAATTGAAGCAAATTACAATTTCTCCTTGATTTGTATTGGGGACAGGGCTACCGGCACTCCTAACGACACCAAACGTAGCGCGATCCGGACTTAAATAAAGTAAGATTTCATTCTATCGCAACATTTCGATAGAAACTATACTCAGTAATACATACACTCGCGAAAGCGGGATTATAGGAGGATCGGGAGGAGGAGGCAACACAGAATGATGCCTCTGACTGTCCCCATCACGACCTCGGAGAACAGCAACTTGTGGACGATGTCTGCAACACCACTATTAGTAACTCCACACCTGTGCACAATTGTTGTCAATATAAAATAATAGCAAACCCAGGAACAGCCAATTGCCTTCGATAAGATGATATCGGTTGCCGAGCAGAAGAAAAGTTCGCAAAAGTTCTTTCACCTGGTGGCGGTGGAGTATGACGATCCTCAATCAACACTTCCTAAAAACGAAAAACTCGTTGAATGTCTAAACTAGTAATCAACTGACATTTCCAGCTTCATCTATAGCAGTGGTGTACGTAATGGGCGATGAATTAGCAGGCCAGTTCGGATCGTTCGTTTGAACCACGGTGTACTGCATTGGTCTAACATCCTAAGATAAGCGATCAGTATAGGGGTCTATGAATATAAAAGCCCAGACATGCAAATCCAATAATTTATATAAACTACTCACGTCGGAATGAAACAAAAGAAAACTAATCACCGTAAGGCCAATTGAACCAAAGAAAGAAAAGACACTTCGAAGACATCCACTTGTGTGCATATTCAACAAGCAAGTACTATAACTTACTTTAGATACGAACCGATGTGGTGGTTGTGACCTTCGCTGAGGGATTTGCAGCATTTTGTGATATTCACCACTTGGTGGAGGACGTACTGACATCTGTCCACCAGCATTCGCTGTCAAGGAGGAAGACGGCTAAATTCACAGTCACTAAGATCAAAAATCTGAAGCGAAAAATGAAAATGAACATTAACCTGCTGAAGCGGTGCTCCTTCAATGACTGCAGGACGACGAACCGCAACAGGAGTACGTGTAGCGGGATTGGTGACACGACGCGGTAGGCTCTGTTTGGGTGGAAATTGAGCACGCTCGAACGGCCGCGCTCTGAAAAGATCTACTTCAAAAACAGAAACAGTGAAGAATTTTGAACCACAGAGAGTTGCTACAACGTTTCTGATCAAACTCAGAACAGTTAGGGAAACAAAATAGTATATGAAAATCTAGAAACCTAGCACATGTGTAAGCCTCATCCTCCCTGGTACGCCGTAGTTCAGCACGCTTTATCGCGTCAATGACTGCTGGTGACTGACCTTGCTTGAGAGCTTCTGCAACAGTCAGCTCAGCTGGTACCTAAAAGCTTTGAATGCGGAATAGTTCTGAGATTTCCGCTATACTGATGCTTACTTCTGCCTTGAACCTTTTGGCAAGCAACTCTGCTTCTTCCTTACTGTGCACATCAACAGAGAGACGCTGAAACGGTAATCTATTGAATATCATGGAATGTATAATAGTTTACCGATGGCAATGTCTACATACCTTCGTAAGCCGTCTATCCGGTGCTGTTCCCAACAGAAACGAAGTCGGGTTAGAGCTGGGCGGTAGTCCAAATAAGGGCTTTGTAGGGTCATTGAATGCTAAATCGTATCCATCATTCGGTGACTGCATAGAGCAGCGATTTGCTGCATGTGACGCTCAGAAAAGTAGATATTGTCCCAATGAGAAAACACCAACTTTTGAGTTTGGATGCAGGAGAAAGAGGTACACCAGATGCAACGCTCACTGCTGGTGAGTTGACCAATCTCGGATCTTTTAGAGCAAATCGGTTTCCTCGACTCAGGTCTTCTGAAAACCAGATAAACAAGCAATTCATTACGCTGCGCAATGTAAGTTGTTTTTTATACTGACTTAAGTGTTTTGCACATAACGGTGGCGTGTGGATATCGGTACACATGGAGTGGCACACACTGCAAGGCACGAAAAGGAACTGATGTTCGTCAAGCATTTGATCTAAATGAAATTCTTAGAAATAAAATTCAGTATCATAGTTGCCTATTTTAGATCGCAAAAAGATAAACAGACTTTCATGCTTACGATCATCGAAAATATGCATCAATGAAAATTTACCCGCAATTTCAAAAATAAAAATGATAATGACGAGGAAATGAATATGATAGCGTACAGGAAGAACATTTGAAAAGAAACTCACGCGAGATGCAGTATTTAGAAAGCGGCAATGCAAGCGCTGAGCATGGTTGTACATTCTCATCCTGCGCACTTTTTTGCACATCTAAAATAATTCGATCCGAGACGAGTGTTTTGTTTCATCTGATATGCACCTTTTGACGTTTTCATTTCTGTATAATCCGCGAAATCTATCTTCTCGTTCGCTACACAATCCAGCATCGTATCCATGATTTCCCCCACATCGGTGTCACTCGTATTGCTGTTCTTCGCTTGTTTACCAAAACTGCATACTTTGGGTGCTGTTCGAAACAGTTCACCCTTAAACAACTGGCGTGAATCCCACTCTTAAATTAGTGAAGGCTGACGCACATTCGCGTATTTCTTGGTAGACTTGATTCTTTTGGAGATGACTCCATAATCGTCAATAGATGAACAAGCAGCATTAACAGCTGCCTGAGATTCGCCAAGGTTGACAACTAAATTAGGCAAAATTTGGCCAAAAGCGATAGAGAGTACGATGCAAACGCACTTTTTCCGTTTTTGCTGAGAAGATCATTCGCTTGTCTCCATGTTCTCTCTGTCATCATTTCTGCATGGAGTTTTAGCAATGCCATACGTCTTTCCAGTAGAAGTTTTCGCATTCGCAAAACATCTTTGTCGGTAAACACACCAGCATTCCTCAAACAAAAAAGATTGTGATTCTCTCAATCACTGTTCTCGAAACGATTACCTCAAAGGAGCAACTGCATCATCGTCAGGAGCGTCGTCGAAAACGGAGCGAATTAGAGGTGACTCCCACTTATGACTCGGAATTAGCCAAGGATATTCATCACTAAAAGAGGATAATCAAACATGACAAGCAAGCACATTACAAAAATGGACGCCTAATGCAAGAAGATGGAACTTACCTGATGATTCCATCCTGGTTCAGTATTGGGTTGTATTTGGGTTTGCCTTGTATTGGATCCTGCATCAGACGACGATCTTCGCAACTAAGCCGATTTCTGATGGAATCATGGAATGGTTTGTGCTGAAACGGTGCAATTCTTTCAGCGTTGGACCAACAGACAAAACTTACCAATTCACATATTCCTCCGTTCTCTCTCAGATCTGACTTTTTGCGAACAGCTTTGCACTTTATCAAGGTTCTGCTTCCAACATAGCTGCATTCTTCATAGACATCATGATCGTAATCCTGTTCTACCAGACAGTGATTCGTACCGAAGGCGAGGACATACCGATTGGGAGGCTCGGATGCAGCCCAATCAATAGCTTCTCCCATGCTGAAATAAACTGTTCTCTATAAATTGTGCAAACTAAAGCAAGAAAAGACATCTATCCTGTGACTTGAATACTCGAGACGCTGCACATATTAATCACATGCTCGAACATGTTTACCATCGATAGGAGGTGAACTTGTTGAAGACGCGTTATAACGCGCAAGTAGAAACTTGTTAATCAACCGCGTACGCAAAGGTTCACAAACATTCTGCTCACAAAGTGGAAGATAAATGTTGAAGAGAGCAAATTCATAAATCGACGAAAACAAATCCAACTGCAATAAAATGCTCCAAACAAGTAGCGATTAGTTCTGCGGTCGCGCCGCAATATTCCGTATAGGGCACTTAATCTCCACTTCGCACATGAGTTTATTCAAATTTAGTCTACCTAAGCTACAAACACCAGATACTATGTTTTCTAGTCCCGGACTGACTGCGAGTGTGTGCTGCGCTCAGCCAAGTTTCTGCATTATCCGCTTGTCAAGTGGCTCACAGACTTTTATTATTTTATTGAGCACGCCTTTCAGCAAGTTCAAGTCCTAGTCCACTCTAGGTGTTTACGTGTGACTAAAATGTAGCTTTATGAACTGGCAGCACAATTTAGTCTATTTTGAAACTTGAAACCGCTGCAATCTCGTCGATCAATGCGTCTACCAAACAGCAAGTTCAAATGGAACGCAATAGATGTTGAGCGCTATTTTGTTGCAAGGGTGCAAATATAGAGCATGCCAAAATCAGCATGAATCAATGTTAAGATCAAACCTCATTCTGCAGTATTCTGCCCCATCATCTACCGTTCAGTTCTTCACAGCCGGTGTAATTGCACATAAATTCAAATTCTTGGCCACAGAGCACGCTCAACGATCGTTCCGTTGTGTGTGCCCCCCCCCTCATCTATCCGCAGCTAAAGACTTGTGTAGGCTATGAACAATTTGCCTGACGAATAAGTAGTCATCTCATTTATACTATGAAAATAAGAGACTCGAGACCGCTTCGCACACAATGTCAGAACAAACTCAATCATGGGTTAACAAATTTGTACTTGTGGTCCACCTACCTATATATAAATCATTTGCTACTTAAAAACAGGAAAAAACAAATTCAACCTTGTTGAGAATGTGTGCGTAGCGATTGCGAGTCTATTAGTCACAGCTCCGGTGATTGTACCACATTTCAGTTCAAGAACAAAATGGAGTGAGAGGACAAGTTCGAGCTTATTGAATAACATGTGCATAGCGTTCTCGAATTTCTTGGTCTGAAAATATGATTTCAGCTAGGTCGCCTCTTTGCCTGTCACATCAAAGTACATAAGTTTTCCCTCTTGTATTTCCCCTTGTCAAAATAATATATATAAGAAAGATGGGCAGTCTTAAAACGTTTGTTGGAGTCAACTAATTCCGCGTTGCTGTACCTCTGCCGCTAATTCTAACTGGATAGTAACTTTATAAGGTCATAAGATTTACAGGATAACTCACAAGTTTTCAATCTTTGTTACGGGGCTGGTCTCTGAGCCTCTGTCATCGACCCCCCAAATCCGCTGCAAGGAGCGGTTGTCGCTGCGGTCTACGCGTTGAAGGTGCCGGATGTTCGTGCGCGGGAGCATTTACGGGTGTTGTTTTTCTAGCAAAGCATGTTCACAATCTTGTGCACTGTTTCAGCTTGTTGATCTACTTTGCCATGAAACTGTTCTCATTTTCTCATTGCAAAATTGAGAACCGGAACCAACATCTCACTTTTGTGAGCCCTGCATTCCATTATACTCCGAGCAGGTGAAATGCTGAGTTTGAAATGATTTACATCGGTTTGAACGATTCCAATGTCGGGAACGACAAAAGGCTTACTAATCCTTTCTTTAGCTGAAGTATATGTCTGCTTACAAGTTGTCTCTCCGGTTTTCCCGACTATCATTGTCTCTCTCTTTTCTCACAATCATTCATCTCCAACAATCTCATCCTCATTCGTTTTTTAATTCTAAGCACGATTCTACTCATGAAGATATCGTGAAAGTGGAGCTTCCCCTACCTCTCTCGCCCATGAAAATTATGATCTGCTTCTCTTATTTTGTCACAGTTTGCAGATTTCTTTTACTCACCATTCACTTCAATGCGGGAAGACGTAGAGTATCCCCCAAATTGCATGCCAATCCCAAGTTCGAGCGGGAACAGTGATCTCGTCAAAAGGCTGAAGGTAACTTGAGATAGCAAAGCATTTCCGTTTCACCAGACCTGTGACTGTTATCTAATCTCGCTTATTCAATATCTCATTTCTCTTAATAAGCTATTATTGCTATTATTAGCACTTGCATTCAAGTGCCATTATTCAATTTGAAATCATTTATCTTCTTCAGCACATTGTTTCAGACCTTATCTGAGGCGCTACAGCTTTCCGATACAAATGACGAATGTGGTAATCCAAACAGATACCGGACGCTTCTATGTCATTTGGCTAAAAGCTCTTTCCTGGAGAATAGCAGCAAAGATGTACAGATTTGGCTAGCATGCTGTCTTGCAGATATCTTACGGGTTTTTGCACCGAATACACCGGTCATGGACAGCTCTCAATTGAGGGTAAGCAGTTTGAATTATTAACGGTTGGATTTGTTGGCATTTTCATTGGTTAAGGATGTCCTCATTTTTCTGGCACGTGCATTGAAAGGTCTTGAATCACCATCGAATCCTTTGTTTCGGCGGTATTTTTACTTACTTGAGGTGCGTCCACATCTACCTTCATTATTTCTTTTTTTTCCATGTTGTCTCGCTAATGTTTTGCTTTCTTTTTTATATGGTTTGATTAAACCTTGTGATATACGAAGATCTACAGAATCTCCATGTGGTGAGCACTTTGACACTGACGCAGGACTTACCACCAGAAGACGCAAGCCAAGTCATTCGTACTCTCTTGAAAACTTCTATGGAAATTGCAAATGGAAAGGAGTGGAAAAGCGAATTACGAGACACATCTGAAGACGGAAGTGCCACAGAGGATGACGATAGGAGCGACAACAGGGACAAGGTAGTCATTTCCAGTTGCTGAATAATTCTTTCTGAAGCTCATTTACAGGTCATTGGTCTTTTGATTGGAGTGATCTCCAAAATACTACGAGTTGTTGATCAAGTCTCCCCCGAAGTTCTTGATGTTTTATTTTTCTACCTAATTAATCCACAGAAGGTATTATTTTTCTTCATTCAGAGATGAAAAGATTTCTCAAATTTTAGCTGAACAACCGCGAATCTTACAACATGTCTCGACAAATAATCCAGGTGTCACAAACATCTCTAGAAGCTACAATACAGTCGGTACGTGGCAGTTGTTATTCCTTTTTCCTCCAAGCATCCGTTTTATAGTTACTAGCACAATCATTGTTGACTGGAAGTCTCCCTGAAGAGTGCGAAATGGTCGGAAGTGGTCGTAAGAAGCTTCATGATGTGATTTTGGAGCTAAATGAAGTTGCTCCGGAATTGGTTGCTCCTGTTTTGCCGCAACTTACTTGTTCCTTGCAGGTAATTTACATTACAATTATCGGTCACATTTTGAAAGTCGAATCCTCTATAGGCAGAAGATGATAATCAACGCTTACTTGCTACTAGACTTGTTGGAAGATTAGCGGCCAGTGGCAAGTCGCGGTTTTTTGACGATAATCCTAAGTTGTGGAAGAAGTACTTGGAGAGGTAATTCTTATTTTGATGCTTTGAATTCAAATCCATGAAAAATTAGAAGTAGCTTCGTTTACCGTCGGTTGCCATTGAACAACATATGTGATGACTGTCGATGTAAAGCCTTTTCTGCTATACAAAAGCACACATGCGAATGTGGAAGTTTATCAAAGTAAAAATCGCAGTTAATGAACTTCCACCTAACAATAAGTATTATCTTGAATGTAGGAAAAATATCATGTTGCAGTAGGCAATTTATGGTTCTCAAAATACTGTGTCAGCTACTATCTGTGGACAATTCAGAACTTTGCCAGCTAATTTAGATTCAAGGACACTTCAGCTAGCATAAGAGAGGTCTGTGCGCGGGACTCTCACGATATTCTCTTGCTCCATAGTCAACTCAGAGGGCAAATTTCATGTATGTCACTCTCCATCTTCCTTTCTTTGACAGATATGTGAATGAATATCAGTGAGATTGCAGCGGCGCTGGGAAGCCTTACACGTGATCTTGATGATACTGTGCGTCTTACTGCTGTATTGTGCATAATTGAAACGGCAAGGAAAAAACTTGAAGCCGTCAACGAATCGCTCATTATGGCTTGCTGCGACAGAATGAAAGACAAAAAGGTTGCTCATATTTTGCTTCATATTACTGGTAAGGAAGAGGTTTTTATTAACACTGTTTGCAGCCGAAAATACGTCAGGAAGCATTAACAAAGTTATTGCACATGTATTTCAAAGTGATTATGGGTGATGAATATACTGCTTCTGAGATAGCAGCAGTTACGGTGATCCCAAAGAAGGCTCTTGCGTTATATATGCTTGCGAGTATGACAGAAGAAAAGTACGTCTTGTTTTCTGCTGCTGTAGCAAAAGCACCAATTTTTCTTTCAGATTGATGATTGAACGGTATTTTTCTATCTATATCATTCCGTACCAAATGGAAATGAAGAAACGAATCAGATCCATGGTTGATCTCTTCTGTAAGCTAGACAATTTCGAAGCACAGTGAGTACTACCAAGATTTTACTAATTTCAATAGCTATACTATTTTTTCAGGGTCTTCGCTGAAATTGTTGCTCGATCATCTAGCCATCGACGAATCTTGCGCGAAATGCTACAGATTATATCCAGACAAGCAGCTGCTGAACTGCAGGCAAAAATCCAGCGGATCTGTAGCACGCATCATGATCCTACAGGAGTAAGCACGAAGGCGATTTTCTTCATTTATAATTTTGTACATTGTCTCCAGTTCTCGATTGCACTAAAACACTTTGCAAACCTGCTGTCGACTGACCAGAGATGTTTTGAATGCGCTGAATATCTTGTATCTAACGAATACACAACTTCAAAAATTGAAGAGACATGCGTAAGTTATAAGTTATCAGTATCATTTTTGAATTTGATACATTGTGTAACACAGCCGTAAACGACTTTTTATCACATTTGCTCCGTTTTTATCATCAGTGCTCTTTATCATATTATTATTTTTGTATTTAGAAAGAACTAGTGCAACGAGCAATGGAGACAACCTCGATACCAAAAGACTGCCAGACAAATATTCGTCGGTATTGTGAAAGAGTTTCACCTATCATATTGGATTTGGATGGGGCAGTTGTGAGTTCTTTCCCTCAAAGTTCTCTTGCAGAAGTCATGCTAGATTTGTTTATACAGGAGTTGCTAAACGTGGTGATACGTATCAGAAACGACGCTGATTGTGGTAATATTGAAGCCAATTCGAGATCACCACATGTTCTGCGCTTACTCAAGGTCAGTATCCCCTCTTAGCATGAAGAAAGATCGAATGATAAGCTACACTTGAGAGTCTTTTCCGTCGTGATTATTCTAGTTGCTTGGCAGACTGTTAGTAATAATTATTTGCGAAGTAGCTCTGTATCAGTCATGTCTATACATTTACTTTTTACCACCCATACTATAAGTGATTGCCTCAACCAGTCAATTTGTGGTGGTTTTGGTACTTACTCGAGTAAGCTTCTTTCACTTGAACTTTTTACAGATCTGGAGCGAGGCTTTTCCCCATCTATTCTCTAGAGATGACTCCATTGATAATATATTGAAACTTGTTGTTTCCGATGATCCAAAAACAGGTAAATCATTTCCTTATTTCTGTTTATCTCAATTAGAGGCTGAGCGCTCCCATTCTTATAGCGGAAACAGGTCTGCAAGTGCTCCTTCACGTGGTTCTTCAATCTAGTTTGAAGGCGAAGGAACAAGGCTGGTGTGAAAAGGCTGTTTCGGTAAGAGTTATTAGAATACTTGCGCATCCTCAACAGAAATGGTTCTATCTCGTTTGTAGGTTGTTTGGAACGTCATTTCCAGTGAAAACGAGGGATTTGGGCGTTGCTGCAAACTGGCAGCGCGTGTGATCTGTCGCTTGCTTGGTAAAGAAGAATCTACAAGACGATTTGATGAGCTATATCCTGTAAGTTTCTACGGATTGTTTTACTAATTGTTTATCTGTTTATACTTTCGAATTATATACGTTTTGATTCATGACTTCAACCACGCTGTAACTTTCCGTCAACAACGCCATTTAAGGAAATAGAGGAGCACGTTTCGAATGTGAATCCTACAGCCTGTGTGAACGCACTACAAGTTATTTCTGAACTCCATCGTGATTTACCACAAGTATTTGGTTTGCGAGTCAAAAGTCTAATCACAGAAGTTGTTGTGCCTGGAGTATGTCTCATACTTCGTTCTCAGAATTTTTGTATTATGATGATGTTGCAGCTTATTCTCAGCTTTGAGACAGACCCCGGAGATGTGGATTTATTTGATCCTCTTTTACCTTTGGAAGAGCAAACCATGCCAAGATTTTGTCTATCGAAGGTACGCAGTGTTTGCTTATATTCGTTTCACTGTTGGAAATGTTTTCTTCTAGATATCGAAGGTGTTGCTTGATTGCTGTTTTTCTTTCTCCGGGTTATACACAAAAGGAATTGTTGCAGGTTTACGGGATGAAGCTGCTCGCTCGTTATCTGTTCACCTGTGGTGGTGATGCAGACGATGACGCACTAGCAATGAAAACATTGAAGATGTTCGTTGCTTTTATTCAAGCAGCAGGGGAACTGCATGATCCTGATAAGAAAATAAGGTGATTTTTTACCGCTTTTCGATTTACGTTTTTTTCGATACTTTGCATCCTTTTTTGCCTAAGAAGTGGTCTGTTATACTGGACATGGAAAGGGAGTATTTTTCGTTTGATGACTGTTGCTAGCTAATTAGTGAATTGACTGGACAAATGAAGCGAGTGGTAACCATTATCACAATCACAGAAGACACACTATCTGTATACGATGTTTTGGATGCTTCGATAATGTTGTCCAATGGTTTTGATAGACAAATCCAGTAAGCTATTCCAGTTCTATCGAAAAAGCATGGCTGCGGGCAGTCGCTGGTACTTGCCTTCTAAAGCTATGTTACATACAAAAATATTCCCACATGCTGAGCGCTGATATGTTTGTGACACTTTCAAATTTGATGAAGGTAAGATTGAATAATGATGAAATGAGGTGTATCCCGTCGATAATAGTGTAATTTTGTTCATAATCCAGGATGAAACGGACTGTGTCCGTGGTTACTTTGTTAGACGACTCAACAAAGGTATTTCTAGAAATAGGTGAGTTTGACCGCCGTTCAAGCGTACTCCATATTTTGCAACTCAATTTAGGCTTACAATAGAATACCTCTCATTCTTCTCTATTGCGGCGCTGCTAGAGCCCACAAGCACAGAAGAGGAGAATGCCATAAAACTGTATGCTTCTAAAGACCAAAAGTACACCAATCTAATTTATGTTACTGTTACTTAGGTACCGTGAGCATTGTCGCAATTCTCTTCTTGCTGCTATATCTAGGCGGCGAAACTTGATACAGTCACCGTCATTCGTTGCAGGTAAGTACAGTTTCTGTCTTTGTACCCTCATTGATTATATCTTTTCATATATAGTCTCAACTGTTTACTGTCGTTTTCATGTTTATTCTGAATGTTAAAAAGTACTTTCAGCATATCTGCCCTATCACCAGCCAGAATACGCTATCGCTTATGCGGTTTGGCTTCTTTCACATCAAGAGACCTTATCCAGTCATTCCGACATCGCTAATATGGCTGTACTTCAAGAGTACGTGTAATATTTCGAATTACTGTGCGTACAATTGGTCACATAGCAGCATTGAAATCGGTTTTTTTGTATGACTAGTGAACCAGCAATCTAAAGGTGCTATCTGGAATAGCGTTCTCTTCGGGCCCGCCGCTGTTTCCCGCTATTTGAAGATTTTTGAATTGAGATAATCATTCTTTTATATTAGATCAGAATACTGTCAGTGACTTGCTCATTTTATCTTGTTTTTTTTTTTCATTTTCTCAAATTTCTCTTGCATCTATCACTGCGACGCCTGATTTTGCAAATATAATCCTCTGTAATTTAGATGTTTATGGTACATCATGGAGCCATTCACGGTCAGAAAAGAAAACACGGACTTTGAGTTTATCTATTCTCTACTGCAAGACATAAAGGAATCTAATGACGCTCTATTTGATAAGAGGCTAAAGAATAATGAGATCGGTGAAGCAGAGTTGATTGGACAAAGCAAGGTAAGCATATAAAGACGTTTTTAGTGACTTCCACTAGTCACAGTGTTCAGAAAATGTGGGTGTTAGCCGACTTGGGAATATTGATGTTGGTCTATCGAGCGAAAGTTACTACTCGCAATGAGCCAAGGAAAACGCTGCTTTCGACTCGGTTCTTCATCAAAGAAAAGAAATCGAAACATGCCGCAATTGTAAGAACAACAATTCATAGTTTTCATTGTTGTTTCTGTTTGATTCGTTCCTGCGCTTGCACTCTGAGCTGCTCTAACGTATTTCTATCTTTTCGTTTTGCTTAGGTCTATACTCCTCAAGAACTGATTGATGACGAAAAGGAGCGCAATGGGAAAATACCTACACGCGATCGAAAGCGCCTGAATAGTACATCCAAGTTCACAACAAAGAGGTCCACCCGCGAGGCCAAAAACACAACGTATTTATGTTACATTTTCGAATATTCACTTCTCAGACTATTCCTTCAGGAAAACGCGAAGGGGTCGTGTCCCATCGGTGAAACTGAGTAAGGTGGATGAGTCACCGCAATCTCCTGAAGACATGGTATCTCTTTTATTGATTGTCATCTTTGCGAATAAGTAAATTCCTGCTAGTTGCAGAGTCCTGTACGTAAGAAAATTGATCGAAAGCCTTTGAAGGTGGAGCAGGAGAATATTCCAGTAGGAAATAGAAAAGAGTCGCAATCACCGAAGTTAGAAGAGCAAAAGCAAAGTGATTTTTCGTCCTCCTTTTTCTTAGAATTTTACCCCATTTTCTCCTTTCTCACTATGTTTCTAAAGATCGCAATTTTAGGCCGAACGTCACATCGAATATCCACAAGAAATCGCGCCGCAAAAGAAAAAAACAAGCTGATTGAAGGGAACGAAAGTGTGGGTTTTCTTTCCATCCTTTACATTCGGCAGGAAGTTACGCTATTTCTCGCTACTCATAACTTTTGATTATTTTTTGCAACGTAGTCTGTGGTAGTTCCGAAATGAGAATTGACGGATTAGTGCATGTAAAGACTTTCATTCCTTTGTTGCCTTACCAATGTGAATTTTCAGCTGACAAGTGATGATGATGACGCATCTCCTTCGACGTCGGGGGAACAAATACAGACACGAAGCTCTGACATACGAAAAGGAAGCGAACAGTCTAATGCCACAACTTCCACTCCGTCAAAGGTTATTTTCGACCTCCTCTGTCAAAATTTTGAGAAAGCGCGCATATTTTAGAGGAAGGTAGCATCACCTCTGAAGCGATTTAGCGCCGGCAATGACGTTGCAATTTCACAAAATGGTGAAAGCAAGGTATTCTTTTCATATGTCTCTAAAGATATCAAATTACAATAATTCAGGTTTCACCGTGGCCTAGAAAACGGCAAAGATCGAGCTTGAACAACGTTGACGATACCATTGACTTTTCTCCTATAGTAGCAAGTGGAAGAAAGGTAGGCTCACTGAACTTTGATCACCTGTTGCTTAAAATATCGTTCCGATGTTGATTTACTACAACTTCATACCCATGCACATGAATCATATGCCATCCTAATTCTATCGTACTGTTTTCATTCCAAAATCTTTCGTTTATATCGGTTCTATTTCTCTATTTACTACTGCAGTGCGAATAATATTAGTACATCTTGACGCACTAAGTAATGTTGTTTTGTATTTTTGCGCATGCCGCTAGCTTGACCGTTAGCATTGATAATGCGCTAGAAACTTCAGCATTCACTTGGATATCCTTGGTACTTGGACCCAGCACTCTTCGCTGAAAGCGATGGCAGCAGATTCATTTGTAAACTCTTGATTTCAGGTCACTAGAAGTAGACTAATACAATCGGGACCGCTCTCTACTTCCACTCCGATGCCAAAACCTATACCAAAATCGCCAAAACGAGGCAGAATAGCGGAGGAAAGCAATGCGTTCACAAAAGCGGAGAAAGGAAAGAAGGACGCCAAGAGAGGATCTCCAAAAGAACGCAGCACACAGAACCAGCCTGTCGAAAAACACTCGCCCAAGAAAGCAGCCGAAAAGCAGTCACCCAAGAAAGAAGCCGAAAAACAGTCACCCAAGAAAGAAGCCGAAAAGCAGTCACCAAAGAAGGAAGTCGTAAAAAAGAAGGATATTTTAAAGTGAGTTTGAAATTGTTTTATTCTATACTGAATCCTCGACTACCTCTAGAACGAGAGTCCAGTCACAACGATCGAACATATCTAATGGATCTGCCTCATATAAATCGACGAAATCACAACGCTCTATGAGAACTAAAAATTCTTCCACTCCTCCCCAACCAGCGCCAGCTCGACCCAAGCGAAATCAGAGGACTCGGGGAAAGGCTGACTGAGTTTTTTTTCTTGTTTCATTTGTTACTAGAGAATAGTCGCGCCATGCGAGAGACTCTCCATTTCGCTAAGTTCGCTACTTATGAATCTCACAGCTACTTGTTAACATCTGATGTTTACATATGTATTATAAAATGAATATTGCCATCTTTACTTATTGAAATTGTGATTGGTTCTCCAACTAATACCTCACTTTGAATTTTAGATTTATTAATAACCACCCGTACACTTGCAGCTAGAAATGTGGACTAAGTGGAGCAATCTAATAAACTGGTACCTATATAATCATCAGAACACTCACAGCTTTCTAGATTATACAATTTTGTGATCATATTTTGCCGTGTAGGGCCATGACTCTGCTTCCGCTTTCCTCATTCAAACGTTCTTTCTTCGCGATAGGATCTTCAACAATGTGTAGATAGTTGTGGTTCAGATATCGAGCAAGCTAAAAAATGAACATTACGAATAGCTCAGTTAAAAGTGGTTTACGCACCTGAGCAGATTGAGCAGAAAGATTTGTAAAATGACAAGCGAAGAGCAGAAGGTTGCGCGGTTGAACATGCCATGCGAACCTCATAAAGACAGAAGAGTATAAGCATAGTGCCACAGTCATGTTTCCAGAGATCATGTCGGGATTTTTCTGTAAGCGATACGTGCACAGGGCTATTTACAGGCTATCCTGATATGTAAAAAAAAATCTGAAGACAAACGGACCTTTAGATCAGCGAGTGCCGCAAGAGGAATACCCCAGTTAGCGACAGGACCCCAGAAATGGGTAGACATAAAATAATCCATCCATTCTTTTCTGCTATGCCTTCGGAAGTAGGTGACAACAGCGGACCCAACCCTTGACATATCTGAAGTAAGCATTTTCGGCCTGTTTTTTGAATAATGTGACACGACCCGAAAACGATTCCGCGCGATTACGAACGTTGATGAGATATAATTATGGCAGTTTAATAGTGTTTGTGATAAAAAATACCCCAAGTATAGAGTGGGCAGTATCGGAGAAGAAATGAGAGGCGAAAGAAAGGGGATAGGTGATATTCTGCCAAGTTAGACGGAAGAACGAAGTAGCTTCTGAATGGAATGCGAATGGATGGAGGTAGGAAGACAAGATGACAGTAAATAAATGAAGTTGATTGTACTGTTTATACAAAGTCAGTGAAGGGCATACTGTTGTTGACGAGAGATGATCTCAAAGGAAGGTGCACGGAAGCACATTTGGTCTACAAGTTTCTCACGTCAAAATGCTCGTCTTTTGAATGGTTTCGTAGATTTTCATACATGCATATTCTAGATAATAATGGATAATATGATGCCAAGTCCATATCGCGGTCGCAACAGCGGACAATGGAGAGGAGGAGGAGCGCAAGCAAGAGGTAATTGAACCTGTGCATGATATACGCAATGTCTTCTTTGGTTGATGGAGCTGCTTCTGTCTCATTGACGCATTGTTTTCGGTTTTATGGTAGTCGCGTAACTTCAGATGTAGAGGTAATAGTCTTTCATTTTGCATGGCAAGGTTTCTCTCGAATGATGCTTGAGGATAAGAGCAGATGTTGTGCTAGCCGCAGTGGGAAAAGATTTTGTCTCTTATTGACAATACCGGCACATTCAACAGATTCAATGTAACTGAAGACATCTGTGATGTCAGAATATGCATGAGTATCAATGATTAGTTGGTTTTGTAGATGATGATAAGATACGTCGAGATAAGTACTCTTTGACAGTGTTGAAGACAGATCTGGCTTCTCTGGTAAACTTCCAACTCTCATTATTATGCTTTCGTAAAATACGAAACTATGAAAGTTCGCGTAATTCATAGCTTGGAATTTTGATGACCTCCTCGTCGAATTTCCGAAGCATACTTCAAGCCACACCTTTAGTAACTCTAGCTAAATTCAAAGAAATGACCTCAAAGATTAACTCCTCTGAAAACCCCTTTTTAGGACGGAGATCAAATGACTTCCAATCGCCATTTGCTAGTCCTTATCAGAATACGTGGGGCAGTCCAGCTGATGGCAGTGCGCAGCGTCGTCCTTATGGGCGTGGCTCACCATCTCCCCGCTACCAGTCGAATCAAGGAGGATATCAGAACAGCGGACGATCATCGTATGGTGGATTTCGAGGGACTCCAGGAAGCTCCTATAAGAACAGAAATCAAAATGGGCAAAAGGTTCGCTACTCCTCATTCTTAGTTTTATCGAAAAGATTTAGTTATTCTCGAAAGTGTCCCTACCGTAAAGTAGAGCAGTCTTGAGCTAGAAATTTTTGAAGTGATAAGGTACAGTAAGCTATGATATCCGCGGAAGCAAATTGTAGGAGACAGGAATGGTATAGAATAAACCTTCTTTTCTTACAAATTTTTACGGTTTAGATTTATGAACAAAGAATAATCGTGACTAAAGGGTAGGAGAATATTGAAAAATCGGAAAGCCTTTCGAATTTTTTTCGCAGTAGATCATATGTTGTCGTAAGCATTCATAACGACCGTTCTTTACACCATATTGAACCTAAAAAGTATGGTTACAGCCATGGACGTATAGCTATTTCTACCGACCCAAAGAACGCACAAAGCTGCAGCGGCGCGATCTTATCAAGTGTGATAGCTTTCAGATTTCTTCGTTATCGCGCGACGAAGTTCGCTCTGAGGAAAAACAAGCAAGCTTTTTCTCCCGTTCATTTACGAAATCACCTAGCGATATATGTCAACCACAACTCATCCCTTATCTTCTGGCGTCCGTTTTATTTTCGCATTTTTATTAATACACGGCTTTTGTTTCGCTAGAAATAGAAAACCAGTCTCAAAGTACAGGCGACGCAATATCTCACCTAAAACAAATTTCATGCCCAGACGGCGCATCGCCTCAAAGTTATCGCCGCCGAGCATGGGAATTTGCAGATGCGGGCGCGCGGGAGTAGGCGGGGCTTATCTTGCCAGCGGGAGCAGGAGGAGCCTCGGATTGCTTGTGCTCTGCGCCACTCGCGCGCCTCTGATGACCACATTCAGGTTGTGGCCAGTATTCTAAGCGAAATACTGGCCACTCAATTCACTGGCTGCGCATGGCTCACTGTCACCGAGTATTCCACGCTCCTGTCACATATCTGATTCTCTCAAACTTTGCCCATGCTCTTTTATTAGTTGACTTCTTAAGGGGAAGAATCCCAAATCGCAGTGGTGAACTGGAATGAAATACATTCTTGCATCATTGCAAAGCTGCCTTTTCCATCTGACCTCTCTAGAAGAGGTGACGAGCGATTGAAAGTGCAATCATTGGAGTTGTAATGCATGATGTGCATTGAAATCCAGTTTAAGAGTACATATATGACGAGGTGAGTGAGCCGACAACAAAAAATGCACACATTAACCAGAAACACGAATAAGTGCTTTTCAACTGATCGTTGAACGGGTGCCATATAACGTTTGCCATAGCTGGACTTTCAAACGCTCATAACTTCCTCCGAGAATCTCGCAGCAGATAGGGAAGGTAGTTTTGGAATAGTTAGCTCATCAAGACGTGACTGATCGTATGTTTGTTCCAGGTTGCCACTGCGGTTTGGGATCCTTCTCTAGTTAGACTTCCATAGGACATTATTTTCGCTGCGCCCCTTACTGGAACTAGGTATTTGTTGTACACAAGACAACACGGACAGAATAATTGATTGCCGCTGCATGTGACTAAGAAAGTCGCCTTTAGAGGAAGATTATACGGCAAAAGCGACGAAAATCAGAAAGACGTTTATGAGAGGTCAAGAGTACGTCTGCGGGGGTGATTAGGAAGATATACGTTATTCAAGTGTTGCTCTGTCTAACAAGGAAACGATACTTGATGTCCGTGGCCTTTTGAGATGAGACGCATACCATCACATTCGTCTTGGAACGCTGAACCCGAATCTGACTTCCTTTTCTGCTAATCGTTTCTCTAGATCCGTCATACTTCGCCGAAAAAAGCCCAAAATAGCCAAAAGAGCCAAAACGCTCCTTCCGTTTTGACGCTATGGCATGTGTGTTGATTTCGCAACCAATTCTTCATATTCTGTCGTCTGCACATCAAAATAATGTCAGAATTCCACAAAAAGAAGTTTCGTTTCAGCGTTCCGGCTCTTCCAGGCTTTTTCGGGCTTCTTGGGGCTTTTTTGGGCTTTTTTCGACGAAGTATGACGGGTCCCGAAGGAGTTATATAGGATTTTCGCGTCAATGGTCGCCTAAGGCCTCGGACAGAGTTCACGCAATTTTATCGCCGCGATTTTCATTCATTTTCATTTTACATTCAAAAACTTCGCGCTGGAAAAGTATCACAATCGAAATGCAAGCTGATCGGCATGCAATGAACTCGTAGCAGTTGTCTTGTAGCGATTGAATCGCGACGATCAAATCGCGTGAACTCTGTCCGAAGCCTAAGGGAAATACGGTCGAAGGTGCCTAACTCTCAAAAAGAAGCTTGATTGAGGCATGTAAAACTGTAGACACAAAAGGGCTCGAACCTAAACCTGCATTAACTTGCGGGCTACACACCACATCTAAGCGGCGGTTTTGGCATTCCGACCATATCTCATTTGGCGCGAAAATCCTTCATAACTTTTTTCCGAGAAACGATTAGCAACGGAAGTCAGATTCGGAATCGACGCTCCAAGACGAATGTAACAGTATAGATCTCATCTCAGAAGGCCACGGACAAGTAAGTATCGTTTCCTTGTAAAAGAACAACGCGGATCATGAGCGAGGGAACAGAAGCCAAAACGAGCGCAAATAGGGAGTGGGTAGTCGCGCAATCCAGTCAAGTGACAGTATCAGCAAGAGCGAACATAAATGCAGCCTATGGACACCCTGGCTACCCATTTTCTGCATGCGTTAGACACCTGTGCACTATCAACGCCGATACATCAGTTGGCTGTGATGCGAGACTTTTCACATAATTCGAATGCTTTTTTGAACTTAGTGAAAGTAATGACCGCACATTTTTGCGTAAACCCACAGTCTAGTTTTAGCATTGCATAAAGTACTAATTCATGTATCATATCATTCATACAAGCTCAAACCATTTTTGACAATATGCCATACTTACTATTTTTGCGTTTCAGAATGATAAATTACGATAATGCAATAACTTAAGAAAAAATTTGCAAGTAAAAATAAATGTAATATGACTACTTACTCTTAAGGAAGTGGATATCCGCGCTTACGTGATTCCAGCCATGACACAGAATCCCTGGAAAGACCTGGAGGAGCAATGGAAGAGCGAGAAGGCAGCAGGAGTAGATAATACAGTGAATCAACAATGAAACTTTGTAATAAACAAAGCTGTCATGTTACAAAGATACTAAACAATACAGATTTGTCAGTGTATCGTTTACAATCATTTTTGAGAGTAGGCCCACCGAATTGAGGAGCCTTCCATGCTTCACACAGTAGGCTTTTTCAATTTATACGTTTTATAGGTCATTTTATAAACAACATCACTATGCAATAAATCGTTGCTCAGAGACAAACACAAAAATATAGACAAACGGAAATCGGAGACATCAAAGTTCAAAGTGGGAGCTGACGAGCTGACCGACTGTGGACGCATCCGATGCCGCTTTGAGCAGCTCATCTGAAACGATGTTGACAGCATAAGTAGGCTTGCGAACATCGAGGACTTTGAAGGTCAATTATGGAATGCTATGGAAAACGATTAACCGCCGTTAGTCTGAGTAAATCAGCACTTAGATGAGCAAATCATCATCTGGAATGTAATAACAAAAGTTTTGTTTGAGGATGTCATGCATAAAGAAGCAAATAAGTGATTTTGTGAAAATTTAGTAATAAACGTACCAGGACTCAATGTTATATCAATTACAATCAACACACTCATGATCCCCCCCCCCCCCCCCTTCTCCTGTAGAGTAAGACTACATACCAACATTTTTCACCATAGATAAGCACTAGAAAAAGAAAAACGTGTCAGGCGAGCGATAAGGAAGTAAACCTTTCTACTGAACCATTCCCGGTCTCATCTACATTTTGACCTGACTGAGTAATTCTTTTTTCGTTCGCCTTTCGAATACAAAAAACTCATTATTACGCCATCATTATCATTCATACTTTTGCAGTCCACTTGTTGTCGCCATATTCCCAGATACACACAATGGAGATGATATTGAATTGATGCGAGATAATGGGCGTTTAGACTATCGCAGCAGTTTGCAGGCATACGACCAATTCACAAAGTACAATAATCGATGGAGCAAAAAGCTCTCTGAGATAATCAGAAGAGATGCCAGAATTTGAGCGACAAATTTGATGTATTCAACGCAAAAAAATTACATCTTCGCCCAAATTCAAAGATAGTGCCTAAAGACACCTTTTTGGTGACCTTATGGTAAACATTCAAGAAAGTTCTACTTACATCTGCAGTACTTTCTGTCCGACTAAAGATTATGGAACATAAATATACCGAAAATAACAGATTGGAAAGATGTCGGCTCCCTAAGCGCAGAGTGAGCATAAAAAATGCACGAGAGACACTGTACGATAGAGCAAAGCAGGCACTACAAGAAGATAACCAGAGGCAGTATTTATCAACCTCATATATAGGAAGGGGTCCTGTACAGATAACACCCATAAAGGTGCGGGCACTGGCGCCCGTGATATATGAAGCCAAGCGGTGATCGGGCTTCTGTCTATTGGAGAGTATGGTCCGATCTGGCAAGTTTGGCCATGTCGGGCACGGCAGTCGCGCAGCGAGCCTGACTTGTCGAGATCGAGCTCTGCTGCCCGGCTGCCGTGCCCGACATGGCCACCAAACTTGCCAGATCGGACAACATTCTAAATTTTGATAAATCACGGGATTGGCGCTCTTGCCTGTCCGGAAACTCCTTAATAATGGCCCGAACAGCGAGTGGAGAATAAATACCGTCACAGCAGTGGCGGTCCCAGGATTTCGGATCGGGGGAGGGGGGACAAAAATTTTTCTCCAGTGAAGATGTATGGCGTTAGCCATGCACTCCGAAAAAATTTTTGGGGTGCTTCTCAAAATTTTTTCGGGTCCCCAACCCCTGAAATCTGGAAAAAGGGGGCGTTGCGTCAGCCACGCCCCCGAAAAAAGGTTTTTTTACAAGGCTAATTCATAATCCCGCTCAAAAATCCTACGTACCCGGCTGTTCAACATGCATTAGCCACCCAAACATCCATTTATACACTGCTGTGCTTTCTCCACAATAAAATCAAAAAACTAGTGATTGGCAAATGGCTTATGACTTCATTAGAAAAATGTGGATGCACGAATTACGTATGAAAAGAAACACATTTTTAAGTCCCTCCCACATATACAAACCATCAAAATCATAGTATAAAAATGTTCTCCTATATAGCCCATATAATCGACAAATATCATCTTGACCTCAAAATTCAAAAAATAATTCTAAACGTAAAAAAACAAAAAGTGCATATGTATACCTTTCCTTCTCTGACTAAGAGGCATGGGCATGCTTCGTAGGTCAGATTAACGAGTTTGTGGGTGCATCTTCACAAGTTTTGGGGAATCAAATAAGAATTTGTCAAAGAACATGTCGAGCTCGTAATGCGAACGTGAAGGCATTCCTTACATTCCTATAGTAATCCACCAAATGCTTGAAACGCACTTTCAAACTTCCTAATCAAATTTACGCAAAGCTTACTCGTGTCTCTAAGCCAGGAATGAATGTCTATCAAATATGTGACTATAGCACTCGTGACTAGTCAGAAAAAAGTCAACGAACTCCGCCGGATTTCAGTGAAATCCGTGTCGCATCACCGTAACTTGATTCAAAGTGGATGAATTTTGGTCTGGGACATCGTTTGATACTAGTAGCCTACGTAAGTAGATCAGAATATGTGCCTCGCCGAGTAAGTCGAACGGTACCCTTGCTTCAGAATCTACCCACTTTGAACCAAGATATAGAGATGCGATGCGAGTCTCAGTAAAATACAGGATTACTGATGATTTTTTTCTCAAGATCGGGCAAAAAAGCGCAGATCAAGTGGAGGCATAATTACTCATTCGATGACCAACTGGCCAGGCAAACATCACGCGATTTCATCATCGCCTCGCGACGACTCACTATCAACACCAAAATGCAAGAGGATCAACATGCAATGAATTCGTAAGACGCGCACCATACTTGATCCGCTTAGTCTGCTTGATCCGCTTCGTCATTTGTCAATTGAACTGACCAAAAGTGAAATGGATCAAGCGGATCAAGTTTGGCGCGTGCTCAACAGTTGTCTTGCTGTGAGAATCGCGAGGCGATGAAATTGCGTTGAGCATTCTCGACCGTAAAACGGAGATTTGTAAAATTAATGAAGATCCAATTTTTTCCGCAATCAATGTTCATATATCTCGCTTCAAATCTGATGTAAATTACGATTTAGTGGACATCTGGTGGTCAACTTGAAAAGATAAATTTGCTCCGTTGAGTATTGCGCCTCAACATTTTGCAGTCACGCTACTGCAGCAGCTAAGAGACAACCAGAATTTTGCAGCAACCAATTATAGCATTTTCTTGGTTCTTCATAAATCATTACATAAACCTGAAAACCTTTTTACAAAGTTTCTGGAATGAGGATGAATGAACAGTAGTGGTTCTCAATCAGCATAATCAGCATACTTCATTTTCTTTAAAAAATTCTTTTATACAGATGAGCACTCTATGGCAGCGGCGGGGCGGTGGAAGCATTAAAAAATTTCCGGAAGGTGCGGCTAGCCATACCGCTTTACTCGAAAAGTTCTGTGCCCCTCCTCTGAAAGGAAATTTCTCGGAGCGGCAATGCTTTAAGGGTATAGTCTAAGCTCCTCAGACTATCAGTTCATAAAGGTTTCAAAAGTATCAAACTGCTTGCAGCTGCCCTTCACCACCTTCGGACACCACACCATTTGGTGACGATTACCTATAAAGCGCATACTATGCAGACGAAAACGATCCAACCATAATTTTCCTACACAAGAACGAACGAAAAAAAAGTGAGACGCCTTTTTGCAAGAGCGGCAGCGTCACCGTAATTTTAGTTTGTCTTTACACGTACACAGTCACCCCCAGCTTTTTTGGTTAGGTAAAAGCCGACGCAGGATGTCTCGCGCGCGGCGGTTGTCCTGTGTGGAAAGCTTTACAGTCGTGCAAATCGCCCTACATTGTGAAAAAAACGAAAAGCCGACACGATCCAAGTTATCAATATTTGAGCTAGTCAGGCTTCTCAAGCAAGAAAATTGAACGCAGATGTATTTGCAATCATGGTAACAATATAATACACAGATTCGCACTACGCGCATGTGAATATTAAGCTTTCCTCTAGACTGAGTAGCCAAGTTTTTTCGACATTCCTCCCTGAATTTTAAGTTTTCTCATTATTAAAAAAGCTCTGCCCTTCTAGGAAGCATTTGCCAAAAACAGAAACACTTCTATTCTACAATTCTCTAGCATACGGTGACCATGATAAACTCACATATAAACTTCATGGTTAAAATGTCTCAAACAATAATATGACGACCATTCAGATGAATAGGCGCCAATATACGAAAAATGCTCACCAAGTACTTAGATCAATTTTAAAAACAAAACATGCATTTGATGTCAGCAGTCGAGATAGAGCTTCACAAAATCATTTACCGTTGTAAAACTTGTGATGGTGAAGCTCAACCTGATCAGCTGACAAAGTACCTTTGGGATACTTCTTCTTACATGTAGCAAATTCAGGTGCACTTACGACATCTAAACATATAACTGCTGACTGAGAAACTTTCCGATAATGAACGAAGCCTTCGCTGATCTTTCAGACCGAAGGATGCACGCCATACTCGAAGAAACCCGTACACGGTATTTTGCTGGTAAAAAGCGAAATATGACGCAAGACATTTTGCAACCTAAGATCTCCAGCATATAGACTTCAGTCAGATATCTCCTTTATCTAATCTAATTTAGAACGAGCTCGAGCACTCTCTTCCAAAAGGAACATTGAGTGATCTCTAATGAAACATAAAGGCACTGATATGACCTGATGCTCCCCAAGAATTCTGCAGTGATGAACACTTATAGTGCAGTATGCTTGCAAACTTTTAGACTGTAACCGGTGCGTATGAGTGACACTGAAATCAACAGATAGAAATCCTGTTCAAATCTCTCATAGAAGATATTCAATGCGTGAACTATTTCTCAAAATCCTCTCTCATCGTCAGAAATCAGCATGCAAGAAATATGATACTGCTGCATACATGTCTGGCAAATCATCTCCTATACGATTTACCTTTTATCACATGAATACATTCTCATCGGTAGGGGGGAGGTTGCAAATGATGAGGAACGCCTCGGTGCCCATCCGAGCCTTCAACGATATGAATGGGTGCATGTCCTTGCTGGCTAAAATGCGCAGGAACTTGGCCAGTAGCAGACATCCTCGCGTCTAAAACAAAATGTGAAGCCATAATTCGAATGGACAAACAATCGGGATTATTGCAAATAGCACAAATACAAAAGGTTGTGGAAGAAGAAACAGTTAGACCACGATGTATATGAGGCGGATGATAGTTGACTGATGAGCTATACTGGCATAAAACTTACTGAAGTAATTTCTGTTTGAAAGAACATCTATCAACCGATCCTTTAGAGGCCGTGGGTCGTCGGCTCGTAAAGAGGAGAACTGAGAGCTTTGCTAAAACATTATATCCTAGGCTAAAATAATTATAACAGCAATGAAACTACGTATCCGAAACAGGGCATATCGTAAACTGAAATAGAAACCGTGGCACATAAGAGCAAACATTCGTACCACTAATCTGTTATATATGCGCGTGTCTTCTGCTGTGTTAGTGTACTGCAACAGTCTCAGCAACTGTGACGGATCCGAGCCATGCAGAGCAGCGTTGATAGACTGTTCAATGGCTATAACAGAACACAAAAGTGCATCTCACCGGGACCGCGTAAGCAATGTAGACTAACCTTCTGGTCTCGAAGGATTAGCTTGATGCACGAATCCATTCGATGGAGAGACTCGTCGTCTGTCATACTGCATCTGACTACTTGTTCCAGCTGAATGACTCGCTGTCTCGTACTCTTGTCCTTCGGAAGACTGAGCTACTTTTGGATTGGGATTGTTGGAACGACGCTCTTTTCGCTGCTTCTTGCTCCACAACTCATGGCAGTCCTAAATCGATAATACTTGGAAAGATGTACTATAAGGGAGGAAAATGGAAGCTACTTGATGTTGTGGTAGTCTCAACGGTGGAACTGTCGTATAATCGAAATTCTTGATCCAGTAATGGCTAATAGCATCTTTAGCTGAGATTCGACGCTTTGGATCGAGTAAAAGCATCTTATCCATAAGATCGATAGCTCCGGACGGCATTATTCTGAAGAAAAAGATACTTAAACAAATAATCCGGAACTATGGATTGCGCAATCCAGTTCTGTACGTGCACAAAGTCAGTAACAGAGTCAAATAACTGCACTCACTGGGAAAACTCCTCGCGAAGACATCGCACATATTGACGTTTACTCCGTAAAGTACCATAAAGGGGCATTTTCTCGACATCGGGCCAGTTTGCGGGGCTAGGTGTGCCACAGACCTGTAAGATATCTTCATTTAAGAATGCCTTACTGGGATAAAGATTTAAACCTTGGATATGAGTTCTAATTGCATCGATTCGTTATTTCCTTGGAAAAGCGGCTTTCTTGTAAAGAACTCTCCAAGTATGCACCTGTAAGATGTGATTTATTTCCTCGCGACAATGCATTACATCCATAAAGGATACACAAACTAAAAACCATAAACGCCTAGCTTTTTTGCTGTCTTTTGATAGAAAAACAAACCAAATGTGTCCCATGACCCAAGTCAAGTGTTTCCAAAAAAAGAAGGTAGACTCATTTAAATGGTCTCTAAGCATTTGTCATACTTACCCAATACTCCAAACATCAATGGATGGGCCATAATGCTCGTCACCCAATAATAATTCAGGAGGTCGATACCATAACGTTATTACTCGATTTGTGTACAGCCGCTCTTGATCGGAAGAATAATAACGAGCGAGTCCAAAATCGGCTATCTTCAGTTCACCTCTGAAAGTAGATGCTTCATGTGTGACAAAAGCAAATGAACAGAACTGAGATTTCACTGAAACCATACCTGTTATTCAATAAGATATTACTGCATTTTATATCACGATGAAGAAACCCGGCTGAATGACAGTATTCTAGACCCTGAAAAGGAGTGAACTGATCATTATTTCAAAATGAAATATCTTTGAATGCATGATGGAGTAACAATCTCACCAAAATCAATTGTTTGAATAAACTTCGAATTTGATCGTTATGAAAGTTGATCAAGTGCGAAGCTTCGAGCAATCCCATAAGATCATGATCCACATACTCGAAAACCAGGTAAAAATTTGCTGTAATCATAGTAGTTCATTTTGAAAAGGCATAGTCTACGATATGAAGTTACCTCTTTCAGTGCGCATGTCAGCTGCAGACAGTTTGTCCGTAACTATGTCGATAAGCTTCACAACATTTGCATGGTTCAGCTGTCGTAGAATCTTTATCTCACGTACAGCAGTGATAGGGAAACCCTCTTTCTCATTCTCTAGCCGTACTTTTTTGAGTGCAACTTGTTCACCTAAACATAAAAATCGACTGTCTGTTTTTGAGCAGCGAGGCAATACGCTCATGTTCATTCAAGCACTAAAGGAGGGGCTAAAAAAGCACACCTGTTACTTTGTCTCTTGCTTTGTAGACCTGACCGTAGGTGCCCTCACCAACTTGATACAAAATTTCGTATTTCTCCACAAACCCGCTACCCCATTCGTTTGAAAGATCAACACCTCTTCGAATCTTGTTGAGAACCCTGCGAACAGAAAATGATTCCAAGACAAAAGTTGGAAACGCAACGCTTACGTTGGACGGTCGAATCCTCGTTTCTTGATGGCAGAGACGTTTGGCATAGGTAATCCTACCGTCCGCGGTGCCGCTGTTGAAGTGCTGGCTGCCATAACTCCAGAAACAGACGGCATTGCAAGATCCGGAGGTACTGGAGTTGGCAAAGGAGGGAGGGGAGGAACGGGAGGTGGCGGTGCAGGTTCAAATGGTATTGGCGGAACAGGTGGTGGTGGTGGGACAGGTATGCTACTAAGCGGTGGTACCATCATATCCGCAGACTTAAATAAACGATGCTAGAATAAAAAATGATACAAAAAAGCTTGATGGACCTTAGTGTCAGACGAAGATGGTCCTGGAGCGGGCGGAGGAATCGGAGGAGGAGGAAGGTGCATACCCACTACTGGAGGAGGTACTGCCACAGGGACAACCAGTCCACTTGCAGTAATCTGAAGATGGTTTGTGGAATACGTGTGTAAGTGTTCTAGCCGCCAATTCATGAGGCTCACTAGTTGATAATACTGCGCCGTGGCAGGATCGAGGAATGTCGGTGGAGGACAAGCAACTGGCAATGTCATTGGAACAGTAGCCGGCTTCTTGTCAATGTTTTTTGCATCCTAAGGTAGGATTAGTTCAGAGAGTAATGACTACAAACTCACGCAAACTCACTTCACTGCTCGAACTGCTGGATGAACTATCTCGTTTCCTACGTTTTGCCTTGCGGTGCTTGTCTCGATTTCTGATGAGGGCATCTGCAGACTCACCGTGCTTTCGGACTAATTCACCAAATAGTGTAGTTCTATCTCGCAACCTGGAATCTCCTCAAAATATTGTTTGTATGTGGCTTAATTATGATTTTGTGAAGGCTTATGGCTTTTCAGTGAATCTCTGTGGACGGATATGAGGGCATAGTATTCGAATACGAATTTACATTCTTAAAAAATGTTAACTGGATTTTAGCTCTTGCTTTTCGCGAGACTGTTTCTTAGAAGCTTTCACAAACAACTTTCAGAAAATGAAAGAAAAATGTGGAAATATTTGTATCGGCAACCAGAAGGCCAATGATGCATCTGCCCGAGCCACTTACTAGCTCGCTGATAAGTTATTATTATCAAGCTAGGATATGTAGACAACAACTAATGGCTTCACAAGGGATGGATAATAGAAACCAGGCAGACCATTCGTATGTCAATATTGTAACAAAGTATACTTTGACTACATTAACAACGAATCCGGTGTCCGAGATAGATACCTAGAGAAGGGGCTTTTTGAGCTAGGGTAGGTATAGGTAAATGGCACCGGATTTGAGGTAGTTTTTTGAGAATAACTGAAAACCGAGGATAATTTCTTTCCGAAATTTCTAGAAGCTTGTCAGGAACAAAACTCTTGTGCATGCTGGAATTAGCCCAAAAGTTACGGAAAACGTACTTCCATAAAAATCGTGAGCTCAAGGGGTTGCATGAGCTTAATTTCACTAGAGGGAGAAAACCATGTACATATTACTCTCGAACGAAGTGGCAAAGCAGTATTAGTTCAGCAGACGAAAACGCGGCGTGCATATCTTCATTCTCGTTCCGTGGCTGATGGAACGCGTTAGCGAACCTACTTTCGCGCTTTTGTCCGCAGCAGCCCTTATCTTATGGCAGAAATTTGGCTGTTTTTCAATATAGATATGAGATGGAAGCAGAAGCACAACATCCAAGTTTCGACCAATCTAGATGAGCCGCCAAAAAGAGGAAAATTTGAGCTTTATTTAGTGACGATTTTCAATAGAAAAAAAAACCAAAATAACACTGCCGTTTGTACTGTTTACCCAGAAAGCGTAAGTTTTGACAGAAACATGACCATAAACCTCCTAAATCCGCCTGCTTCTAATTCGCTGCAAATCCAATTGCTTTTGGCAATCCAATTATAATGTTGGAGTGTTTTTTACCGCTACTATCTCGAAAGCTATATTCACTTTAGAGTGATCACCATAATGCTTTTACAAATGCACGATTTCATTTAAGCAAAATGACAACTTGTGATTTTCCACAAACAGTGCGACAAGGCTTTTGCACCGACTTGATACATAGCCAAGAACTGTTCTTCTAGTATCATATAGAAATAGATTTGAAATCTTCAAACTAACGTGATCTCGTCATCGCTGCTATCGCTGCTCGTTGAACGTCTCCTTCTCGACTTTCCACTCTTCCGCCTTTGTGGTGTTCGTGAACGATCGCGCCTGGAGAAAACTCTGTTAAGATGCACCCGGTTTGCTATGATTGCTGGATCCGAAAAGAGTTAAAGGTGAAAAACAGCGCTTTTCAATAAGTACCGTGCATCGAGCATAATCAACGCAGCAACCTCTTTCCCTTCATGTTGGCGCATACTCTCACCTAACATAGCTCAGCTTTCATTACAATCTGCGCCCTCGTGCAGAAACACACAAGCCAATGCAGGTCTCAGGTTTGGAGATGAACTTGGCCGTGGAGAAGTCACACTGTCGCTTGGAGCCTCAGTTAGGACCCCCAATCAGTTTTCAAGTGAAAACAGAAAGTGGGTGATTTGCCTGGGCGCTGTTTTGCGGCCATTGTCCAGGCAAAATGAATGTTGCATAAACTTTACCTTTTACATCAAAAGCCTCTTCCTCCACCTAAATTAGTGTGAAAGAAGACACAAATTATAGCCCCAAAAATGGGAATATACTCATACACTGCCCTTAGCGCGGGCATGCCATAAGGGCGTGCTTCGGTGGGTGTAACAATAGCTGCAGCAACATGCCATCGTGAGCCATCACAGGCAGAGAGCAGCGTGCTAGCGACATTAAAGGCACCGTCCACCCAGAGAGGAGGTTGACGAGACTATGATGGCATACTAGCATGGGCCCCCAAACTATTCAAACCCCCAAGTTGTGCAGCAAAAGACTGCTTCGCCCCGCGACTTGCATTGCACCGTTCTCTAAAACAGAGGTTTTTGGGAATTTCGCGGATTCTCGACTATATATTCGGAATCAAGACCTTCAGAAGGCCTGGAAGCGACAAACATGGAAGTCAAGAATTTGGGTAGACAGTGCCTTTAAGACGGCCAAGTAAAACAGCGGAAGAAATAGTCTACAAATATAGAGTCGGTGTCAACTACAATTTCTTTTGCGTAGGGAGCATCCACAACGCGAACGCCTTGCGGGCGAACCTCCAACCAATAAGTTCAGTCATACGCACACGAAAGCGGCGCGAAGCTCTGACGTGGCAGCTGTTAGATGAAAAGGGAGCATGCTATTGGCAGAGACTATGCGTGATCTGCGAGCATTACGCTCTGCAAAAGTGATGCCACTAACCTGCAGAGCGACTTCACACCAAACACTGGACAACCTGGGCATGAACAAGGTGTGGGCAGGGCGCTCGCAGCGCTAGAGTTTGCTCTGTATACGCACTGTAAGAGGGACCAAAGAAATTCAAGAGAGAACAGACAAGCCGAAAGTTACACTGACGCTGATGCGCATCAGTCGAATGCCAACAGTACACTGTGAACCAGTCATCTACAAGCCACAGTACCGCGATTGTGAATACTGTCGTGCGAGTTCAGCAAAGAAGATTAACAAGGTTAACAGTGGCCTCCATCATTAACTAAATCTTTCTCCCATCTTCCGTGGCTTCCATTCCCTTGCCTGGTTGCTCCAATTTCGCTCGTGAAAAGTCGGAGGACTACTTTTGGAAAGCACTGGAAGCTGAATCCAAATCTGATTTCATTGCCTACCACGTGCCTTTGGAAAGCAGTTTATGAGCATCTTTTTGGAGCGAGATGAGTGCAGGTGAGAGTCAATCGACTATAGTGTGGACCCCGGCCAGCTTCCCGTAGGTACCAACGCGACGCGCTCGCAGCGCACGCCTCTGCTACCTTCGACGAGCTTTCTTTTTGGGTTTTAAATAATTATTTATTGTTTTCCTCTCTTGTTTATCGTTGTTTCTCCATTATTTCTCTATTCCAGGTATGGCCGATCAAGACAATGGACCCTAACTTCAACGTTAGAAGAGAGCGTTGTTCGTTCTTACGTTTTCTCTTCGCCAAAAGTTTGTGTTCGAGTAATCTCGAGAGGATCTTTCGTTCAAATCTCTTTTACGAAAAAACGAATATCTATGGTCGATTTTGGTTGGTACTTCTATCGTCTCTGCCTTAGAGAGGTTCCCGCTGCCTTTCGATCTTCGTTTATCAAATGCGCTTGTGTTTGAGGTAGAACGTTTGGGTTTTGCTACGCTCGTCAGGCTCGCACAAAGTCTGCGAACCATGACGAGGTCTCTCCCACTCGATTTCCTGCGTGTGCAGTGCATTAGACTCACTGATAAAGCAAAAGGCAGCAGGAAGACAACGCGCTGCGCATGCGTCGCGGCGGTACCTATGGGAAGCTGGCCGGGGCATGCACTATACTTCACCGTCGGATAAAGCACTGTTGAACCTGAGTAGATCAGAAAGAAGTTAGTCATGGCATATGGAGTGCTTGATATCCAATATCGAAATTGAGCTTTTGAATCTGCTCAGTTAGCGGCTGTGCTGTTAGCAGCGCCTTCAAATTTTCAACCCAAACCTTCACAAGTCGGCGTCCAGAGATGCGTGGCAGACACCGATGACAGATTTGATATCCCGTCCAAGAATATGGATTCAGATGGAAAGGATGCGAAACGCGAGCAGGAAAGGGAGTGCCGATGGAAGCTTAAACTAACTATCTGTTCATCATTTTCCCAAGTTTAATCGCTGTGCTTATCCCGAAAATGCATTCGGAATGCGCGTGAGTTCTTACGGGTTCTTCTCTGCATATGGACGAGTGGGCGTATGGTCTACGAAAACTGCAATTCCAAGAACAATATCTGCAACGTCGCGGCATGCGCACTACAGTGCTGAATGGAATCCGTAGGCGTTGCCGGTAATCCGAGGTAGGCGGCTTGAGAAGACTTTTCAAACGTTGTACTTCATGTGTGACGTTTCGGCATCGTATTCAATGGCTTGAGAGGGAGCCCTTTCCCCTTACTCCTTCCGTGAAATTTTTAAAGCATCAACGCTGCCTTATGAGTCAGCACGAGAAGAGATTAGGTATTACGCTCGAATCGACCTCAGTGGGTTCTACGCAACGATAACAGTGATGCTTTGTGGAGCAACGCGATGCAATGAGAAGTAATGAAGCAAGCACATACCCATGCCTTCCTTTATAAAATCCAAAAAATTGGATAGTGAAGCGGCGTCTGACAGGGTCAAGCGTGGGGTGCGGCACGCCTGGGGGGTCGTATTGAGGAGTCAAAAGGGGAGGGGGTCGTAGTTGGGTACTGATAATAGTGATAACATGATACTTGTATCATATCCATAATTAGCATGTCAATTAACCCCTGTAGACAAAGTGTGAGCGAATTCTGAAGATTCAAGATACTAGGCTACCTAAATGAAATGGTCAAATTCCAAAATAGTTAACTTTGTTCCCGAAATCGCGCGCGGCGAAAAAGAGTGTACTTTCAGCCGTTAGCCTACAAAGGGACCTTATTTCGCATCCTATGGGCCACAATTGTAATCAGCATGTCAGATAAGCTCCATATCCAAAGTTCTGAGTGAAATCGAAGTGTTTGAATTTGGTCGCTTGAGAGGGACTTTTGTGCTTTCTTGAGAGATAGGAACAAGAACTCAGATTCTAATAGTATTCAAAAGTATCTATGTTGGGCACGGTACATATCAGTATCAAAACTACGATTTTTCTCCTTGATATCAAAGCAAAGGAAAGTTGCGACGTCGCGTCGTTCGCGTCGCCGCACTTCGTTGCAACTGTTGTTGGATTTTTGCTCATATCTCCTAAACAGATATCGGCGGCACAACTATACAGAGTCATTTGAAAAGTAGGAGGTTAGACCTTTAACTTAACAACTTCAGACTGAAAGGAAACCTTCTGCAAACGCCAGAAAGATCCCTCAAAGCAGCGTGCTGCACCATGTGCAGCACCGGTCCGAAACGTGTTAAAATCTCGTTTTTCCCACTTTTCGCTTTTGATCGCTGTGCTTTCACCAAATAATACTCAGAGCTAAGAAGACGAATCAGGCTCCAAACAGTCCTATGGAATCTAGAAGGTTTAGGCTATCGATTCATATAAATATTGTCCGCTAAAAATGTTTTTTTGATATAGTTAATGGGGTGTGCCGCAGCCCCTTAACTTGCCTTCAAAATCCAGAAAGCGCTCCATTGCTGGTATGAGTATTGAGCACATAGCTTTTTCTTGCTACACTGGAAATTTGGAGCCGAACGCCCCACCCATAAGAAAATTATGGCCCTTTCAATATGCCCATTCAGATCAAAAGCAGCCGTCAAATTACGTGTGATTGTAAAGTGCAGTCACAGAAAATCGGGCGTACAGCTCTCAGAAATCTGAAAACTCTCTAGAAAAAGCTGGTGTCCTCCAGAATGTCACACTTTGAGGTCCAGAGATTGAGAGGAGGAAGAAGGGGTCGTTTGAGAGCTTTCATGGTAGGGGGGGGGGTTGTTTTCTAAAGACTTGGGCCTGACCTCTTTCTCAACTCTGGTAATGCTATCTTAGGTTATTAAAACAGCTATTAGGAGGGGGGGGGGTCGTAATCAGCGATCGTGTGCCACACCCCTTGCTTGACCCTGGCGTCTGATCTTAAAGGCACCGTCCACCCAGATTTTCGTCTTCCATGTTTTTGTCGTTTTAGGGCCTTCTCATGTCCCTGATTCCGAATACAAGTCGAGAATGCGCGAAAATCCCAACAATCCCCGTTCCAGAGAACCCACACCGGCTGTCAGGAACGGCGATTGGATGGGCGCGCACAAATGGGCGGGCATGGATGGGGAGAGGCGGGCATGGATGGGGGTCCTCGTGCATTTTCGCTAATCCGAAGCGATTTTCTCGCTTCCGAAGCGGCATTTTGCGCCGCGACTTGGGCATTCGCTTGATGGGGGGCCCTACCATCATATGCTGCCAATAACTCAAGACATTCAACTTAGGGTGGACAATGCCTTCAAAAACCACTAACAGTGAATTCAAACGGGTACGATTGGGTCAAGACAGTCTGAACTGGTGTATTAACTGGCCCACAGTCAATTATAAGCCGTGCTCCCTAAACGTACTAGTCGCATGTAAGGCTCACTGATGACGAAAGAAACACATCCTTCTCGAGCATCCGCGATGTAGTAATGGAGAAGGAGCCCAACACAGTTCAAAACCAATACCCTGAGTAGGTGTTTTGATGTGGAAGTTGGGACTGCGATATGTTCAAGCAAACTGAATGTATTGTTCGTTAGCTTGAGACGGCTGACAAACCACAGATAGACCTCGGGATCCAGAACTACTTAAACCAAATCGAAAAATTTACACTGCGGAGAAAAAACTGGTTAAAGTAAATCCAAAGCATTTTCACCCTCAATTATCTGGAACACTGTCAATGACCGGCTTTTCCGACAGCTCAAATGCACCACCGTAACATGTGCCTCGAGCACAATAATTGTGCGGTTATAGAAAACCAACCTTGATCGCTTTTTGTTCTTCCTTTCCTCCCTTTCTCTCCTCTTAAAACGATCTCTCCCGTTCTGACTTCTATCACGATCCCGTCTTGACCGAGAGCGCGATCTTGATCTACGGCTAAATTGACAAGCTTGTCCAAAGTGTTTTCAGAATGCAAGCAAATGTAATCTTAGATATTGCGTACAGAGTCCAAATGATAACTGACTATACCTTGAGCATCGATCACGATCAAAAGGTGGCGAAGCTGATGGTGTCCGCTCTCGCTTCTTCTTCTTATGCGACCGATACCGAGGGCTGGGCGTTCGTTCTCTGTCTCTCGAGCTTCTCCGCGACTTGCGCTCGTGGGATGAGCCAGGGGAAATATCCATCGCATCTAAATAAATCACTGTTCTTAACCCGTGTTGGAGCAGCTATGGATCGTTATCAGAAGTTATGTTCGAATTTTAAAGGCAGCGTCCAGGCAAGTTTGAACACATGGGGATCTCACGTAGATAGTAATTTTGAGGCCCTAACTAAGCCACTGCCGGCAGCTCAGGTAGTGCTCTAGCGGCTGAGATATTCCCCTCGAAACTGGACCCCACGATCGTATCTCGCATGGATTCATGGCGCAAAGCGGTGTCCTAGCGCGAAACTGCCATGAATCCATGCAAATACGATCGCGCAGTCCAGTTTCTAGGGGAATATCTCAGCCGTTAGAGCACTACCTGCGCTGCCGCTTGAGCAGTGCCTTAATTAAGATCCCAAAAGTACCTTCCACGTAAAACCCCATAGGTCTAGATCTGCCTGGACGCTGCCTTTAAGTCACTTATGAGTGTTTGTGTACCCTTAATCAATCGTCGGTGATGTTTTGGTACAAAGGTGCAAGTCGACTAGACTTGCATACCCAAAAACATAGGCTTCTTAGAGTTTGAATAGGTTAGTCGAGAACGATGACCGGAATTGACCTCGCGCATATGAAATATCAAAATTTTGAGGTAATACGCAATGACAGCCTCCTCAGTTCAACCTCCAACCGCAACGAATTTTTCATGAGAGCGACCACGGTGTCGATATTCAAGCAGCACTCATAGCAGCCAAAGTCAATATTCTTTTCATCGAATATAAGCATTTATAATATGAACCTATATTCGTGCAATGGTTCCGCCGTAAAATTGTGATTCAGTGGAATGGAGAAGGAAAAGAAAAGAGCGAAAGTAGACTGATATCAAAGGTTCAAAATTAAATGAGATGACGAGAAGATTTCACGTATCTCGGAAATTTTTGATCACTAGCACAAGAAGTTACTAAATTGGTTGTGGTAACACACCCGATTCCCTCCTGAACATTCCAGTGAACCGACAATCAGATTCTGACATGCGCGAAGTGCTGAGTAGAGAACCGCAACAAGCACTTCAAACCATTCGCCATGACGTATGAGTCTTATCATCGATTCAAATGAGATCTCAGATATTAGCTGTACAGATACGATGTACCCGTAGAAATGATGTAAATGTACTTCTACAATAAAAGTGGCAAAAATTTTCACAAAAACTACTCCTAATGCATTGCCACGTTGGCATATGCAATGCCAAATAAGTCAAGTTCTGCATGACTGCATCTGACCAAGAGACACAGATTGTGGCCGTGTCCAGATACCAAGATTCTAACCTTCTCCGATACATGATAAGATAAGCAAACTCTGAGAAATCTAAGCCATACTCACTGCTTAACGTGAAAATCCAAGCTCGACAAACGAGAAAGCTCCTGGTTTCAACCGCTTACCAATATGACAGCAAAAAAGAGATATCGATCAAATACTTACCGCTTTGTTCTTTCGAGAAGCGGCGACCATTGGAGTTTTTCAGCGGGGCAGAGGCCGTGTCATTTGAATTAGACTCCTCACTGACGGAGTCGAAGCTCATATGCTATAATTAATGATAGTCAAGATCGTAACAAAATCAAACATAATTGGTCACATTCTAACTAAACACGACGAAGTAATGAAGACATAACGGAATCAGACTTCAGCGCTACAGTTTGAGGAGACCAGAAAACTATTGCTTTCGAGAGAGCTGTATTTTCAAGTACTTTTCATACAATATCTGAAGCATATTGAGCTGTCGGCATGAAATTCTTCAAAGGGTTTGCGTTGAAGTGCGCTGCCAAAATCAGAATTTCCGCTTGAGACTCAGTAAAATTCCTGTGAGTTGGAGCGCGACAATCGCATGCAGGACTGGACTCAAAAAGAAATAACATAATGTCTCCCATGGAAATGCGTATCTAGTTTCGATGGGAACGCCGTATTCACTGCAAACAGGGTATAGGCCGCTGCGATATTGATTGGGAGCGACATTCGTCAAATGTGACTCACATTGTGCGCTTTTTTCATGAAATATTCTCAATTGCGTCGTTGATGGCGTCAAGTGTACAGAGAATAAATCAGATTCATATTATATAGGAGGAGAGAGTTAATGCCACAAAGAAAGATTATAAATACAGTTCTTCTCCAAGACCAAACTAGTAAAGGATTTAGAGTTCTGAACAGAATCACTTTTTTTAGACAGTTCACTAATATTTCTCAGCTCCACAGAAAGCGACAAGTTTGAAAGAGAAGTAAGGCGGCATCAATGTTCGCACTGGCGTTAAAAAGTGAGAACTGAGTGTGTCGCGTTCTCGCGTTTTCTGTCCAACGAACTTTTACGGGGCTTCAGTCGATAAAGTGCACTAATAACCTCTCTCCATCAAAATTGTTATTTTTGCTGGCGTACGCAAGCTTAGCGTGGTCTTGATTAGTGAATATTTCTGAGACAAATCAATTCATCTACCATTTCAACAAAGAAAATAAGGCGGGCAACAGCACTGCGGTCAGAGGCAACATTCGGGCGCTAAGTGAATCGCTCCTCCTCAAGCTCGACCACGGACGAACGTATCCCGCACAGAGTCAGCCAATGACAGCGCTCGCTTTTGATCCGAAACGCCGCCGCCATTGGCTGCGCGCAACCTGCACGCGCTGCCTAAGCTTGTGCAGCAATTCTCACGCCTTGAAGTGACCGTGAGCCATAGCCTCAAAACTCAAAGTGGGGGTGGGGGTGGGAGGAAAAAAAGCGAATGCTGGCTCTTGTAATAGTCTAAAATATGGTCGATGCTGCTTTCACTTTCGTCAAATATTGACATTGATTCTGGAACTAAATGGCTCCGGTCATTTCGGTCAAGCAAGGGGAAGAAAGGAAGAGAGTGTCTTGAGCTGGCCTACTAGAAATTACTCATTGGGAGGAATTAAAGACTTTCTGTATTCATAGAAATTAATTTCATCGCTGAATTATTTGAAAGTTGAAAAAAAAAAGTTTGGACACCTGTTACCAATAAACACACGGTTGGGTCGTAGAGAGCTCTATAACAGCAAAGAAGTGAGCAGAATTTACTCGTAAACGTTTCCTGCGTGAGAATTATTTAGACGAATGATGGGGAACGGATATGTGTTAAAAACTGAGCTAGATTGATTATGTCATCAGCTGCTGAGTCATCGCATTCCGGAAATTTCTCTACGCCTTCCTTTTTCTTTTATGTTCACCGCGAAATTTTTTGACATTAATATAAAGAAAGCAGTGAAAGGCGAAACATCACTGAAATGCCATCCACTTCGGTTTTGTTTCAAATGAAAAATCGTTACAACATACATATTTTTGACCTCATTGCGCATAAACTGGTCGTCTTAGAAAACGAAAAACTCAAACCAAGCTTAGGAACCTAGAATCGATAACTAGCGGAAAGGTGAACTGCTAAGTGGTTTACCTCAACGGCTTTTTTTTTCTGCTGCAAAGCAATCCTATAGCTCAGCTCATGACAAATGCTCTCAAGTATTGAAAAAGTACTTCGCTTACATCAGTCGTTACAAGGAGAGTATGAAATTATTGAAATTTATTAAATTAATCAATCATGAGTGCTGCGCTAGCTGCGTATTGAACGTGCAGCATCAGAAAAAGTAATTTACAGTCACTTAATGTCATCAGAGCACATCCATTGAGTAATCTAGAGGTTTTTCTTACTGTAACCAATGAGCGTAACACACATGATAATAAAAAACAAAAAAATGAGAGTTCGATACACAAAGAGGGAAAAGTTTGTCACTCGTTGAACCACGCTATACTTTCCTAGTTTGGAAGAAATTTAAAATTGAAATTAAAACAAGATTTCTTCCAAAGATGCTACACAGTTATACGGTAAAGTAAGTAGGCCACTTGAAAATACTATGAAAGTAAATTCGCACCGTTAAAACTATTTTTGAAATAATTTGTGAGCTTTTCGCTTCCTACACAGAAATCCTAGAAAGCTTCTGCAATTTGTGGCCCTAATCCTGAAAAAACAGAGGAAGTTGAGAGTATACTAGAATATTTAGCGTAGAAGGCATATTTGCTTGAATGATCGATAGACGAGACTTTTGTGAAAATCGGAAATGAAGATCTCACGTATAATGCAGAGTGTTGGTAACATTCTGATCGTTTCAAAGATAGCTTCAGCTTCCTCAAAATTGATTGCAAAAACTTCACTGTTTGCAGGAAAGACAAAAAAACCAAAAAAGTGCTCGAAGATTTTGCTGATTGGCAACGGCAAATTCAACGAATCTATTTTGAGACACTTTGCTTTGTAGACTGACACAAGCAGCGTGTATATGAACAACAACTAGTTTCCATCTATAGTAGATCCTTTGAGTTGCTGGTCGTGATTCATTCGAATTTGATAGTTAGTTATCCATTCTCCTGATACTCACGATCAGTTTCAGAATCTTTCCATTCTTTGAAACAAATCACTGTCGAGGTCAGGTGAACGAACTTTTACCGGAGGCTCGCTAACACCCAATTGGTTTTATTATGAGTCTTAAGTGTAGGAGATTCTTGAGATTACAGTACCCACACTAATTATTCGACAGAAAACGCAAAAACTGACGATTCGCGTTTTTTTCGTTTTTTCTTCATAACTTCCTTCAGTTTGCATAAAATACGAATCCGAAGAAAGTATGATGCTCAGCTCATCAAGATGAATCTTCTGATATGCTACACTCCCTTACTATTCCGTTTTCAATTTGCTCGATTTTTGTGTGAGGACGGATATTCGTAGTGATGTAACTCAGCGAAGAACACACATGAACGATTCATGTAAACATGGTTCAGTAGTGCTGTCCCCGTAGATTACCATGTACTAGCGATTAGCGAAGGATCTCCGTTCCATAGGGAAAGATAGGCCGGTGAATTTTGAAAAAATCGATGTCTCTCAAATTTTGGCTACCGTAACCATACAGTAAGACGCTAATTTGCAAAGCTGGTGTGTTTTTCGTAATCAGCAATCTTGGATCGACCGGAAACTTGGCCCATAGAGTTTTCGGACTCGCTGATTACGAAAATAGTGCTCTTTGTGCAGCATAAGTTCTTTTAGCAGGGTCATGCTGAGAGGAATGCTGCGATATTACGCAAGTTCCTAAATTTGTCTGCCCTTTGCGCGTGTCTGTTGGATAACTTGCTCCTATTTGTAATTTGAAAACAATGAGGACAGTGCTCTCAAAGCATGCTTAAACTAGGCCCTTACCTATATTGATCGCCGAACTGTGAGCATACGAACTCACATCCTCATAAAAATCGTTCAAAATTTCAAGATCGCATATTTTGGCCAAATATCACCGCGATTGATTGTAGATCATTCTGATTGCAGATATTATGTTCATGTACATATGTAAATTGATAATCCCAATACAGCATACTTGCTTACCCCCCATGTCGACTCTTACACATGGAGCTCAAAGTTTGCAAAAAAAATCGATAAATTGCTATCGACCCATGACGAAATGTAGTCTACGAGACCAGCCCCTAAGTTGTGTGCAAAGTTTGTTCTCCATCGGTTCAGAGATGAAATGTTGGGAACAAAAAGATGTTGGGAACATAAACACACAGACACATGACAAATAGACATTCACTTAAGTTTAGTATGTTAGAGACAAATAACAACAATAACAACTAGAATTCTAAAGTCTGTCAATCTTATCATAAAAATCGTAGGCGTCTCCTTGCAACCATTCATCCCTAGGTGGAGATGAAAGCTTGGGCTATTCACTATTTGCAGTTCTAGGGCTGGTATGCTATTTTACTTTTGTTCATCTTATCTACCAAGTTTTTTTCTTTCATTAACGTTAAGAAGAGTTCAGAGTCGTCTTCACAAAACAGTCTGTCCCAACAGGGGTCAGTCCGAACCGTTGGCGTAAGTTTGTGCGCTCGCAGCGGTATGGTTTGGGTTCCTTCATACTACGCCGCAGGACGCAGCAGCCTGACGCAGCACGCCACTTCCTGCGGCGTGCACCGCTGCAGGTGCAGTAGAAATATACGCTCGCAACAGCACAGATTTGCCGGTTCTGGATGTATATCCATATTTGCTGCACGTTCGTGTTCTCCGAGAGTGTTCCTTCACAGCGAGTGGGCTTATTTTCACTGCGACTGCAGCGCCGCACGCCGCAGGCTGCTGCGTCCTGCGACGTAGTATGAAGGAACCCTTTTGCGTTGCATATGCGACTGTCGAAGAGAGAAGAGTTTGAAGAGATTAGACAAGCCTAGTGTAGAGTGGCGCAAAACCCACGACATGGGCTTTCACCATGCCAATTTTGGCTTAACTAGTAGATAGCGATTTATTGATTTTTTTGCAAACTTTGAGGTACCAGCTGGGAAATGATATAAGTAGTTGAGTGAGGGTGATGATTACGGATACAATGTTAGTTTTTAAAAACAACTACCTTTACCGACTCTATCGATTTTTCAAACATTGAGCTCCACGTGTAAGAGGCGACATGGGGGGGGGGGTAAGCAAGTATGCTGTATTGGGATTATCAATCTACATATGTACATGAACATAATATCTGCAATCAGAATGATTTATAATCAATCGCGGTGATATTTGGCCAAAATATGCGATCTTGAAATTTTGAACGATTTTTATGAGAATGTGAGTTCGTATGCTCACAGTTCGGCGATCAATATAGGTAAGGGCCTAGTTTAAGCATGCTTTGAGAGCACTTTCCTCATTGATTGCAAATTACAAAAAGGAGCAAGCAAGTTGTCCAACAGACACACGCAAAGGGCAGACAAATTTAGGAACTTGCGTAATATCGCAGCATTCCTCTCAGCATGACCCTGCTAAAAGAACTTATGCTGCACAAAGAGCACTATTTTCGTAATCAGCGAGTCCGAAAACCTCTATGGGCCAAGTTTCCGGTCGATCCAAGATTATCAATATTTTAGCCAAAACCCGTCGGCGAGCTTCACAGCCTCTCAGACAATCGCTGGGGGCAGGCGGGCACCGGAAAAATAGATTGCTGATTTCTCGCACCCCGCTCGCGGATTTTTTGCAAAG